ACCCCCCCCCCCCCCCCCAGAAATTATACACCTTAACCTTAGCTGTAACCGTATTCCTATCCCTATCCCTATACCTATCCCTATTCCTAGCCCTAGCTCAGGCCCAAGCCCTAACCCTAACCCTAACCCTAACCCTAACCTTAACTCTAACAGCCCAATCCTAGAGAATCATCTCTAATTGTCGGCGTCTAAACAACAACAACAACAACAACAACAACAACACCAACGACTGCATTTGTTCCTTTTATCAGCCCATCCATCTGTTCTTTTCTTCCTTCATCCAGAGGCTGACAAATCCATTCACCAGCTCCTTCTTGTGTTAAGCTTCACTATATTTTCTAACTTATTCATTGAGGATGGTTGGAGGGTGCAACTGACAGGTGATATTTATGGGGGGGGGGGGGGTAAAACTGGTGGTACTACTTCTCTTCTTTCCTTTTGCTGTTTAAATTTTACCAAACTAAAGTGATGTGTTGTTTCTGTTTCTGTCTTACCTACTCTTTTCCAAAAGAAACTTGACACATTTTCTTTAACATAATACTATTAAATCAGAATGGATAATTGTGATATTTATGTGCAGTGCAGTGTGTTGGTTTTACTATCTTCTGAATCAATTTTGACAACACAACTAAGCGAGTTCACTCATTTCTGTGTGTTTAGTATGATTTCATTTTTTAACTTTTTATTCTGTTAAGCATTGGTTTTCTGTGTCATCTTTGCTATCAATGTGTAGCTTATTTCAAAACCTACGAAAGGTGTGTAATAAGTTTATGAAAACATTTTTTGCATTTGAACTGCGAGCTTCCGAAATCTAGAAAAATTTCGACTTTCAATCATGCCGCGCCTCAGTGCAGAGGAGCGAGGGCGCGCTGTGGGGTATCTCGAAGCAGGCGTTCCCGTGGCGGATGTGGCAAAGATTTTTAACTGTAGCAGGGGAACCATCTACAGTCTGCAGACCAGGTACACAAACACAGGAAGTACAAGAGACCGGCCAAGATCAGGGAGGCCGCGGGTTACCACCCCGGCACAGAATCGGTATATCCGCAACACCCACCTGAAGGACATGTTCCAGTCTGCTTCGCATACTGCCAGAACCCTCCCACAACACCAACCAGTGGGCACACAGACAGTTATTCGTCTCAGGTCCTTTTCACGGATGAGTCTAGATTTGTCCAAGGTCGCTACTATGGTCGAGTGCGGGTATATCGCCGTCGAAATGAAAGGTTTGCTGACCAGTGAGTAAATGAAATCTCTAACCGGGGATATGGGCAGGTGATGGTCTGGGGTGGAATTACAACAGACCACAGGACGGCACTGATACATGCTCCGATAGCATAGAAGGGCGCCAACTACGTAGCCACCATTTTGCAGTCACATGTGGCACTGTTTGTGAAGAACCATCCAGGCTACAACTTACAACAGGACAACGCTCCATCCCATCGTACCAGGGTGACACAAGCTTACCTCGCACAACAACAATTCGGTTTCATCCATCCCTGGCCATCCGTATCACGAGACATGAACCCGATTGAACGTGAGTGGGATATTCTTGGGCCCTCAAATTCAAGAGATGAATCCCGCTCCTCAGAACAACACTCAGTTGATTCAAAGCCTAACCAACGTTTGGAACGCTACCCAACAACATCAAATTTCCAACATCGTCAACTCTATGAGGTGCAGATGCCGCGCCGTCATTGCTGCAGGCGGTGGTCACACACGATATTAATCCTGCCGAACTTTCAGACATTACCTGAAATGCTTTTGATTTGACCAGTACCAGTGTGCTTTGCTATCATACGTTTCGAAAACCATAATTTAGGATGACTATTTAAATGTAAAATTTCTTGTTGGAAAAATGCACATTTTCTGATTTTTTAAATTTTGACCCTTTCACTTCAGGTTGGGATGGAAGCACCAGGTGTGTATTTTTAATCTGCATTAAAATACAGGTTTGCAAATTCAGATAATAATATGCTTCTTCTTTTTAGATTTAAAATTTTGCCCCTCTGTCTGCAAAGGTTTATTTTTTATTTAACACTATTCTTTATGTTAAGTTTCTTTTGGAAATGAGTACATATTCCCTGCAGTAATTAACCGTTACTGAGACCGGACCATGCGGTTGCCATTACTCAAAAAAACAAAACAAACTCCTGCATTAAATAAACGGCGTTCATCGTGCCAAATATTGCTTCTTTTTATTCAAATTTTAACAATTCACGCTTCCTCTCGAAGGTGAATTGTTGGAAAGCGTTACTGTTATGTCCTGTCAATGCACATAAGACAAGATCACGTCGAAGTCACTAATGTAGCGCTAATGCACGACATAAAACAAAAATGGAAAAACCAGACACGGTTTCGACTTACTCCTCACAAATCAGTTCCCAAAATACAGAACACACACCCTTACTTCAATGTAGACCATCAGGGCTATAACTGTAAGGTATATACATGTATACCCGCTCTCTTTTCCCCGTGCATAGCAAGTTAACAGTAGTTGAAGAAAGAAAAAAAATGTACCTAAACTATCAAAGTCAAAAGGAAAAAATATACTGAGAACCCACCAATATATTTCTTTTCTCTACCTGCGTTGTTCTGGCATTGTCTTCAACGACATCAAAGACTCCGGAAGAAAGCCAGAATGTCTCGAGAACCTGGATCTCACCTTTTGGCTCTACCAAGATCTAGAGAGTTCGGGAACACAGATCAAAGTGAGACCACATTTTCTCTAAATCTGTTCATTGATTAAAAGATTTTGGGTTGTCACTGGGATAACACTAAAGGGGAGGGGAAAGGGGGGGGGGATGAGATGAGGTGATGTTAGGTGGATTCTTTTTCTTCTTTTTCTTAATTTTGTCCACTTCCTGATTCTCTTCGCCCTTTTGAAAATCTTTTTTTCTCTTTTTTATTTCTTCTCCATTTGTCTTTCTTCATCGTTGATTTTTCATCAAAGTAATTCTTGTTGGTGTAGTTGCAGATGTTCTTGTTCTTGTTGTTTTTGTGGTGGTGGTGTTTGTTGTCATTGAGTTGTTGCGTGAAGATAGAGAGTGCTACTGGTAGGTCCAATTTTCTTTCCTTTTGGACGTTTCTGTTAGTCATACTTTTTTCATTGCCGTAAATAACTAGCTACTGCTAAAGTTAAGGCAATCTGTTCCCTTGTCACTCTTCTCAAAAAGCTATGGTACCCCCTTGGACGGTGCAACTGACTGAAGTGTCTTTAGGCCATTCTCAAGGGGGAGACATTAACATGTTCTTATGCTTAGTAGAATTGTAAATAGGCTGATTCGCCAATGTCAAGCTTATCACTGTGCCTGAATTGCAAACAAGGAACTGCTGCCTTTTCTCTCCTAATCCTCACTATCGTCATTTTTCTCTACTTCTTTTGTATGTTTGTCACTCTCTTGTGACCCGCTATTTCCGGGGTTCCTTGATGGTTGAAGAGGACTCTGTGCTGTTGAAGCTAGAGAGGTGAGCAGAGTGAGCCTGATTCCCTGTACGGATTTCTCTGTTGACATTCACCCCTTGGCGTCACATGACCTTATTATGCAGTTGCGAGCGCCGTGAAAACTCTACTAAAACTGAAAAACAACTATAGACTTTGTTCTGGACTTGTAATTTTGGTTCTTACTTTGACGGGTTGTCGCTGTTACTATTATCGTTATTATAATCGATATGCTGCAAGTGTAGTTGCTATTGTTGTCATAATTTCAGATCGGTAATTTGTCGACTTTCGACCCTTCGCTGGACACTCGAATTTTGGGCTTCAAGGAGCCGAAGGGAAGCTGGCAGGTCAAGCTGAAACATGAGCTTCTGAAAAGAGTAAGAATTCGGTTCTCCGTTTATTTGCTTCAATTATTTCTTCTTGGTGTTTATTTTTCATCGAGGGGGTGGGGTAGCTGCAATTCGTTGTTTTAATAGATAAATAAATGAATAATTAGTAAATTAAGAAATTAATTAGAATTCATTCATTCATTTTTTTTTTCGTTTTTTCTTCTACTTATCCATAACACATCTATTTATCTATTTATTTACTTAATTAATCTATTTATCTACTTATTTTTTCAGCGCACGGGGGGAGGGGGGGGCGGGTTCTTCAGTATTAAAATTTAAATGGACAAAAACTACTTTTCAGTAAAATAACTAAACAATATTATAAACGGTGCGCTTGTTAGGTATTATCATCATCATCATCATCATCATCATCATCATCATCATCATCATCATCATCATCATCATCATCATCATCATCATCATCATCGTCGTCGTCGTCGTCGTCGTCGCCGTCGTTCTTATTGTTCTTATCGTTCTTATTATTATACACAGCTGCCGTTATCTCATCGTACACAGATGTTATTGTTCTTTGTTCTATCCTCTTAACCAATATTTGTACCTTGCGAGCGTACGCATGCAATATCAACACTCAAGCAAACACACACACACACACACAC